TCGACGAACTGCGGCCCAAAACCTGGGCTATCATTCTACCGAACAAAACCAACTTACTTTTACTAGGAACGTAGCGTAGGGTCAGGCGAAAAAGAGACAGACAGGGACACGCATGTATAAGATTTCACAGAAATATCAAGCCGTTGCTGGATTGATTCCTTACGTCCTTTCGACATAGATGATAATTTATTGGGCTTACCATAAGCAGACTAGCGCTCACCTTTTCACTATTACCTTGGTTTACTTAGCATCCACTACTCATGAAATTCAAACTACTGCATGTTTCAGTGGACTAAAAGATCGCGACGTTCTCTCGAGAAGTGACCCACTTTGCACGGTTTCTCAGCTTACTCAACTACCGAACGGTAATTTTATTGACCCCTCATCGCTCAGTAATCCATCCTTTTCGTTGTTAGCTTTCACAGCAATTATAAATGAAGACTGAACAATCACCATATTTAGGCAAAGAAAAATGGAAGAGGCTCGGTCATACGGAAGTCGTATGGAATAGCTTAGATCCGGAATTTCGCCCGAAAAATTCCATGCGATTATTTCTTCGAGGAGCGGCAAAAAATGAAATTCGAGATGTGAGTTATGTCGGGTTGAACTGCATGCAGTTAATCAACCAGGGTAAATAATAGCTCAGGGTTGATCGATCCGCCTGCAGCAAGTAATATCCTCGTGCTTTAGAGATTGCAAACGAGCTCGGCAACCCATCACCATCATTCCGGTGATTTCCAGGAAAAGAGGGGTAGATCTTGTCGAAAGGGCACATCGTTCGTTGGAGATTCCCAGCTCCCAGCCAAGGTACAGCTCATGGTGTGTGGAATGGTAGTGTAGGGACGACCCCCTCAGTACGAAACCTCACCTGAATGAGGGCTCGGTACGACCCCCTCCCCCCCCCTTCCCCAACACCTACCTACCAATTCCCCACATTTTCCAGTCCAGTTTTTCACCCAAAAATTTTCCGTCGAGCGGGGGCGGGTTATGTACACATGAAACAGGCAAAATAAATCACGCGAAAAGTCCACAACAAGGAAGAATTGAAGAATTTCTTTTCCCAACGCAGCAAACTTCTCTGAAATGCACATAAGACCCTCCCCTCTCCCCCAACGACCAAATAAACCCCCCCCCCTTCCCAAGGCATGAAAACTTGCGACCCCCCTTATGGGCCTTTCACAGCGACTCCTTCTGGTCCTGCTTCCAGCGATGTGGGCTGTATTTCGTCCTCTGAAGGGAATTGTTCTAGTTGTTGACTTTCCTCGGTTTTCCCTGTTTCAATGCTGGAGTGCGCATACAGTTCCTTCTTCCCTTTCCTTTTTTTTTTCCCACTCAACAACGGTTTTTGAAAGAAAATTGAAAAAAGGCTTGAGAGAAGTACTAGGGAGCATAGAGATCTTATTATTGGGAACGATGTTAGGTAGGATGAGGGATGGAAAGGGAACGGGTGGTACTTGAGGACGGAATTTAGAGGACGAAGGGTCATATTTTTGCAGAAGTTATCGCCGACGGCAGAGTATTTCTGTGCCGACATGCCCAGCTGGCAGAGTAATGCTCGGCCCGGAATGCATTCCAAAAAACCATTTCTGTTATAGCGGCGCCAGTTATCGCTTCACCACGTGCGCTATTCCTACAACTCGGGCCTCAATATTCACATTCGAATGCTTTTGAAGAATACTGGGTGAAATAATCACACAGTTTATTCCCGAAAAAATGTAGATATTTATCGAAAAGGGCATACACCAGGGGTTGAAAGGTCAGGACGATCAGAAACTTGTCATCTGAGAAGCGAAAAGCCGGAGGGCTAGGCTTAAAGACAGGGCGTGGATTTGGGCGCGGCGTCAGTATGTTCCCCATCAGTTGTTGAACGGAGCAAGTGACAACAATAGAAGGGCTGGCGTTGCGCCCGCCAAATCCTGTTCCATGACACGCCCCGGCGTCTGCAGTGAAAACAACTGTGTACTTTACAGATACGACGTGGACAGTTCGACTAGCAAAATGGAAAAACACGATTATCTCGGCTTTATGGAATGCTATCTGGCTGAGATTGTTAGTGTGCGGACGTTTACAAAAGAACTAGAGTATGTTTTACCGAGTAGCAATCTTGACTATTTCGCGATTCTCCAGAAAGAGATTTCTTACAAGTACTTTATATAGATATATATACCTACAGTTAATACCGTCGCAGTCAGCTGTGGCGGTGTCAAGATGGTTGGTATGAGCCCACCCGCGGCGTTTTTACCACTGTTTGTTTGTTTTCTAAATCAACCACAAACCACACTAAGGCAGCGTTCAGACTTCGCGACGGCAGCGCTTCGGTCGCGCGTTCGACGCGATCGATGCGCATGCTTTCGACTGC